GAATTTTTTTTTTTTTTAATTTTTTTTTTTTTTTTTTTTAACAATATGAATAATTAACAATAGTTGTAAGAATACTTTAGTAAGTTTTCCTTAATGTTAGTCTTATCTTAATGTTCAACCTAATATGGATGGATTTTTCTTCTGGAGAGTATGTACTCTATTTTTCAATTGATGTTTCGTTGAATTCGAGTCTGGAAACCTGACGTTATAAAAGCGGTGTACATCGATCCAATTAATTCTTCGCTGTCCTGTTGGTTTTCGATGTTGTCGCGCCAATGCGATCAGGATTTCATCGTTGTCTCCGGGTGGTGGTTGTGGAGCAGCATGTTGAAGTGGGTTTGGAGGTGGGTTTGGAGGTGGGTTTGGAGGTGGGTTTGGAGTTGGGTTTGGAGTTGGGTTTCGAGGTGGTTGTGGGGCCGTTGCTTGTTGCAGCCACCTGGATGAGTGTGGAAGCCAGAGTGACGGTATCCAAATAATAGCTTTAGGTCTCCAAAGATTCTCTTTTCCACGTTTGACATTTCTCTCGCCGCAACATGCGCCATAACACCCGAACGAGTAAGGATTGCTCTGGCCGTTCTAAACAATTCCTCTGCATATACGAGGTATCGTCTGACGGGGACCTTGTTGTAGTTGCAGTTCACGCCGAATTGACGAGGATCGAATTGCTGTCTTTCGAGAATATGGTCAACAGCATCTAAAACATGATTCATTCTGATCCTTATTTCCATACGTATTCCACCGACTAGCTGACGGTTATTTGACAACACTTCATTATGCCATTTAGCCTGTCGAACTGGCCTTCACCTTGTCGGGTTGTTACTGGAGATGCCAATGGCTCAGGATTGCAAGCCCTGAGGAGATGGAATAACAAGTTGTAAACCTTTATGCTTACCACCTCTTCCGGTTCATCAACTACAATGGTAAGGTTTCCTCCGAGGGATCGTCGTCGGTTTGCGGTTAGCGGTGTAAGGACGGGATATTGGTGGATGGTCAGGTTTGGAGGTAAAGGTTGAGTTGCCTTGACAAGGTAAATGAAGGGGTGGTGGTGGGAAACTGAAACATCATATTCATTTTCCGGGTATCCATGATTGGTTGCTTGGCAGAGCAGAAGGTCTCGAGGTAATGGAGGGAGGATGTTTAGTGGTTGCTTCATGCCAAACGTTATGATACGCATGTAGGGAACATCAGCGTAACGGAGGGCGGCAATGAATGTCTGCGTTGGTATTGGTTTGATATGTCCGTTTATTAAATGCTTAGCATCATCTGCGGATGGAAGGACGACGTGACCATCCTCGCAGAAGTAACGACATAACCGTTGTCTAACGACATTGCATAACAAGGTAAGTATTATGCACGGGTCCCAAGCGAGAACCATGAAATTCCACGATTCTCTATGCCAGGCACGACCCCTGGTGGTTGCGAGCTTCACGGTGTTTCCAACAAATGATTGGATGACTTCATCAGTTCTTTCATCATTTAGCGGGAGGTTTACAGCAATATGGTCAATGTCAACTTGATCTTCCTCGACAACTGCTTCAAGGAAATCCGGGATTTCTTCATTGACAATAAAATTAGCCATCTATGAAAGAAAACAGTAAGTTAGGAAAAAAAATATTTTTTATGATTTTTTTGAATTTTCTATAAATTTTTTTTTTTTTAAATTTTTAAAGACATGTTCCAGTTTCCAGTCCAAAATTATATGAGTCCAGTTTTCATGAATCCAGGTTTTCGCCTATAACTTATACGACAATAAAAGGTCTGGACTCATATAACCTGGATTCATATAACCTGGGAATGGAACTTCCTGCTGCGGATCCAATATGGCCGCCGCATTTAATGCAAATTGATCAATACATTTGCATTTTCATCTTACGAATGTTTAACATCACTTTTGCAACCAAAAAAAAGTCAAAGTGTGTTCTAGGTTTAATTAAATACACATAATGAAGAAAAAGTTTTAACAACTCACCATTTTTCCCCTTGAAATTAGTGAATAAAGTCTGCGATGAAAATTGCAAACATTCCCTGTTGGAAACAAGTTGATAATTAGGGAAACAATAGATTATGAGGGGTAACATGGGTAACGGTTCGGCATTCCAGTCCCAGGCAAGAATCCAGTAATCACACTCCAGTCCATACTATGTATCTTGATTGACAGATGACAAAAAAAGACCAGATTCATGAACTTGGACTCATAAAATTTTGGACTGGAGACTGGAGTATCGATCCGCAATTTTTTTATTGGTTTGTGGCGTAGAATTAAAGATTCTAAGCAATTTTCGTTAATATCTTCTCAACCAAATATGCATTCTTCTAGGAGAAATCGGCGTTTTAAAAAAACGGATTCAAACTCCAGTCCCAGTCCAGAATCCGGTAATAACACTCCAGTCCTCAGTATCTATCTTGATTGACAGATGGCAAAAAAAGAGCGGATTCATGAAGCTGGACTCATAAAATTTTAGACTGGAGAATGGAGTATGGATCTGTTTCCCCCAAAAATTTGTATTTTCACACCCTGTTCAAAATACGTTTCTCGATGCGCTGATCATTTCTCTCTAGGTCTCAAATGACATTTTGAAAAAAGTTTATACACCAGGGGTGGGCACTTGATTTTTTCTTTTTTTTTTTTTAATTTTTTTAAATTTTTTTTTTTAATTTTTATAATTAATTAATTAATATTTAAAAGATTAATTTTTTAATAAATTAATTTATTTATTTCATTGTTAATTAAATAGCTAATTATTTAATTTA